GGCACTTCCGTATTGGCGTCCCGGCTCTTCCCCAGAGTTTGCCGCTTGGTTTACGCGGACTTGAGGATGGTGTTGAGGCATCTCTCGAGACGGCGGGAACACATTTAGAGCTGGGGAACCGTAGACTTCCAGCTCTGTCACAGAGGGGAGAAGGAGGGGCTGTCACGCCGCTCGCTTCTTCTTCCTCGACTGCTGGCCGAAATTCTGGGTTGGCTGCGCCTGGGCTGCAGCCGGAACCGGAGATTTTCTAGGCCAGCTCGCCCTCGTCCCCTGCCTGGGCTGGGGACTCGGGGCGGACTGCGACCTCTGCGTTTTCGGTATTTTGAACCGAGCAGGGTTCGGAGCAGCTTGGACGAAGGGCTGCCGCTGCGAAGGCAGCGGCTGGGCCCTTCGAGGGAGGCAGAGGTGGAGGGCCTCGTCCTCCTTCTTTTTCGACTTGCATCTCCTCTGCATGGAGGCAAGAGCGGAGCCGAAAATCCCCTCGGGAACGATGGGCATGTCAAGCACATCCTCCTTTTCCCGGTCTGGGAGGTTGGTGAGGTTGAGCCATCTAGCTCTTTCCTGCACCACCATGATCCCCATTGTTTTGCCCGTGGCCTGGACGGCGCAGCGTTGGACACGGAGACAAATGTCTGTGACCGCGGCCAACTCGTCCAGAACGGCCGGTTCAGGATTACTCAACATATCCTCACAGAGCTCCGCTTGGTATGCGGTTAGCAGTGAGGAAACGTTCAGAGCCCTGGCGGACAACGCTGCGGCTCTGTAGGACCGTTCAGTCATGGTCGACTGGAAACGGTCCACCTTCGCTGGGAGCGTGGAGTTCCTGCTTGGTGACGGGCCCATCCTCGGTAGGAGGTGGGCTGCCACCAGCAGTTCCATGGGCGGTATGCGGAGCAGGCCGAGCCTCTGCGGGCGAGACCATGGTGAGGTCTCGCCGGGAGCTCCCGCCTGGTGAGGCGTGGGGCTCCGTTCCCGCGTCTCTTGCCGCCACCGGGTCCCGGCCTTACACGGCGTGGGATCCCGGTTCCGCAGCTGCCGCTGTTAGTGAGCCCCAGACCGACACAGTGAGGGGCTCAGTCTCTGCGGCGGACGCCCCCGTGTCTTGATTGCCAAACGGCGAATCAGTGGACATGAGGGAGTCCTGTTCCAACAAGCTAGCTTGGTGTGCTAGCCGTCGGTGGAGGCTCTTTCGGGTGAAGCGGGCACAATGCCCGCACGAGCCGGGGTTGTCGATAGCCTCCTGGGCGTGTTCCAGCCCGAGGCAGGACGAGCAGACCTGGTGTGAGTCTGTGCCTGCTATCTTCAACCCGCAGCCGCATGACCGAGCCTCCGAGTCCCTGACTCCTCTGGTGTGAGGGGGAGAGGCGTCCATCTTGTTCGCCTCGTGGCGTGGAGAGGACCCGCTCGTAACAGGTACGTCGTTGAGAGAAAAAGTGTTACCAACCCGTCCTTAATCCGGAGAAAAAGGGACGGTGTGGGTCCTTTGTTCTCAAAGAATATTGACTGGTGTGTCAATATACTTCTAATCTTTTTCTCCTCCGTGAGAGAGAAAAATAAAAGCGTCCTCGCTACCGTGGTGTCGGTAGTAAGGGGAAGCTAGCTAGCAACAGGTGCGTAGCTAGCTTGAGAAAAAATCAAAACCTTACCTTACTTTCCGGGGAAAGAAACGGCGAGGTCGATTTTAATACTAACTGGCGTTAGTATTACCGTCTTCTTGCGAAGCAGAAGGAGTAGCCGGCGAGCGCCCGTCGACCGAAATGGTTATATTTGGGTTCAGTCTGTGGACCGTTAAGCTTGTCCGGCTACTATAGAGATGTGCTCTGAAGCGAGAAGAGGTGTTTGAATGACGCATGCGTCGTGGCGCAAGCTACTTATAGGGGGTGAATTCCCTGATGCTGACGTCAAGATCACCAGCCAATCAGGATTGGCATAATGAGATTGATGCTTCTGTTTGCTCCGCGATGAGGCGCATCCCATAGTGAGACATCGAACGGAGTGTTATGAATGAGAACTACAGTTGCTATGGGGACAGCAACACGTTTTTGCTGGGTTTATATTTACGTGTGTATCTTTGTGATAAGAAAAATCATTATCCTATCTGGACTGCTATCAGATCAATTTAATATCCTAAAGGATTTCATTTTTCACTGTTGGGCTTTATGTTTCAGACACAGCCAGCAGCATCTGCAACTTACATCCAGATGCACTGGAGGAAACTGTGTGCTCCCACAATCCACCACTAGATGGAGGTGTCAAATTCTCACAAGGGGGGTAGCAGTCATGTTGTGAGAGCTGTTTTCTCCATGAAAGGCAACATTACTGTAAATCTGTAATCTTTGGATATATCTGGTCAGCTGACTCCTTAACAGACAGCATAATAAACCATAGTGCATGACATGACCAGGCCAAAATAAGTTAAATCTTTAAGCAAAATCCACTTCAACACTGATTTAAATAAAAAATGATATATTTAATGATTTCCTTAAAGAAAAACATAAAAGCAACAAAATAAATAAATAACGTAAAACATAAAAGCAACAAAATAAATAAATAACGCAACAGACTAGGTCAATGCACTATCCTGAACTTTACATTTTTTTCTCACTATCAGAAATTGCCTAAATTATTTTTTATCCCATGTCTGCTCATGTTTCAGATTGAAATGCCCAAACATTTTCTGGTAATAAAATAACATTCTCAGACAATCTATCTTACCTTGGTCGGCATCCACTCTCTTGCTGAATTATGGTGGTAATAACATTTTATTTCTTATTTATTTAATTCATTTTTTAAATGGAGGCCTTGGCAACTGAGGGGACTTCTTAATGACACCTTTAATGTCACCAAGAGGGTAACTATTTTATTTCTCAAGGATTAATTTTGGGTGAAGTATCCCTTTACAGCTCTTCATAATGGCAATGTATGAAGTATATTGAGCCCACTTACTAAATCGAATCACTATGCCTCTACTTCCCCCCATGTGGCTATATGAGAGAGATAGATGTGGCTGTCCATTACGCCCATAATAAGTGTAGCACTGCCTGGAATAGTCCTGAGCTGAAGGGTTGTTCCCACCGTTCCCACTGAGTACAGTCTTGGCTCACATTTCCCAAGGGGATTTATGGGTGGTAGGGAGGCATCATGGGAGACGGAGCAGGCAAGGGCAGTATCATCACTGAGTACAAACCACTGGAGCAAGGAAAAGCTCTAGTGAGAAAGACTGTGTCAGTTTGCACAGTGCATGCCTTCTTTTGCATGCATTAAACTATTGTGGTTAGTCATGTAGCACATTATGTGCAATGAAATGCATTCCTGAGTCATTCTGAAGGTGAGACACCTGCATGACCAATTGGTCAAACAGAAGGGAAGTGTATCCTTACAAGCAAGTCAGCTGGTGAGATTTACCGAGCTAATGTAGCTAAGGGAAGATGGTGAAAGGGAAGGACATGTGTTGTGGTATACAGCTCCCTCATTGATCTCTATGTTTAACTACATCACAAAGAGCTAGACCTTGGCATAATAATGGATACTCCTCTCCTATTCTCCTAGACAGACAGTGAGACATAAGGACTTTCCTGTCACAGCAGGAGAAATTGACTCGTGCACCCTTACACATTCACTTACAGTAGTCTGGGGAAGAGCCCTGTGCTACAAATGGCCCGTCAGAAACAGACATGGGAGATCAATGAGGGCTGTGACACTGTCAGAGCCGGCAGAGGCTGTCACACTTTGAGTATCCCTGACGCTCAGGGGCTACAGCCGGAGTCTGGCTGCACTTGACAAACACTTACATGTGCACTCATGCCTAACACAGTCTTCACAAGCACAGGAACGATACAACTTGATACAGAAACACACAAATATGTAAATGTAACAGATAAGTCTCAAGCCATAGCAACCAAAATATACCAAAAATATTTACAATATTATTGTGCTTTATCAGATCATCTTGAGACCTTGCCTTAAGAAACTGTCTGTGTGGAAATTTTTTTGTATGATGCCTTTGCTTAAATGTTGATCATTCTATAAATCGATGTATTTAATCAAATTTGCACAAAGGTAAGTTGGTGTTTGATAATATTATTGTCTTAAAAAACTGTAAAGAGACTGGTAAAAAATCAGGGCCGCCCTGCTGATTTACTCCAGGGCCACTGAGAAGAACATTTGGCAAGGTTAAAATAAAAATAAATAATACTTATATGCCCAGCCTTTTCTTTTTATCTATTTTAGATAAATGCAAGTCAACCTCCTACAACACATATACAAATTGATGTTCTTCAATGCTATCTAATGCAAAAGAGGTTTGACTCAATATTTAATTTCAGACAATAACCTTTCAATATTTACCTCAAAGTTTGTCCTATAGGCTACATCTACACCCTGGGGTGGCAGAAACGGGACTAGGCCTACAAACTATTTAAATGATTTATTCATTTTTTAGCTTTGACACAATATATCTTTACGTTTGGCTAACTATTTTATCTAGCTATCTAGGTTAGCTCCTTCAACAACTCCAACAAATTCACGCTATGCTATTTATCCAATAAGCTACTTTTACCTCTTCTATGGAAGACTACATCTATTTTTGTATGCGTATATATTGTAACCATTTATTCAATCCTTTTATCTATCTATATTCAAACCATTTAGCTATGCATTACGTGAAACTTTGCAAAGCTAAATGTTTAGACTTCTCAGCTCGCTTGCTAACTAGCACCGTTACCACAGACTCACATATTGCATTTGCACACTATTTTGTGAACAAGACTGTATTTTCTATTTTTCATTAGTTAAAACCCTAGTCAGTTATACGATGTACAGTGAGTAAAACTCCTTTAGATGGGAGTTTCCCTATGAAAACGTGTTAATAGTAAGCGTAGGAGTGGGTCTCGTTGAGGTAACGTGACAGAGTTGTCCCTGCTGCACAGGTGCTCTACTTTTCCACAGCTCCTCCGCCCTCCGCTTCACAAACTGCGCTCATTCGCTCTCCTCAACAGCCCGGATGTAGCGCACAGGACCGCACAGTCCTCCTCTCAGTGATAATAACATGGCGCTGGCAGACACATAGCAGTGCCCACTATAATAACAATATCCACAATAATAGACCAAAATAAGCGACGGGACATGTGAGCTCTTCGACCCCACGACAAGCAGGTAGGCGCGGAGCATTTTGTTCGACAAACGCGCTTTGACGATGCAATTTGGTTCAAATGTGGCTGCAGCTTCTTCTTGCAGGGGGCAGAAAAGCCGCTCTGGAAAGGCGAAATGATTGTCAAACGGTTTAGTTTTTGTCCCTGTCTCTATGTCTGCGGGTTTATTGCCTCTCGCTGAAACAGCAGTGTCATTCTGGGGCAGGTTTGTGTCGCTGCTTACAATGCATCCGTGTAGAAATAAATCTGTCATTTTGTAGAGCATGTGTTGTCATGGCTGTCAGGCTCGCCGTGCGTCGACCGCTGTCCTTGGTATTGAACTGGGTGGGCATCACACCTTAGCATGTTGCAAATACATTTTTGAATTAAATGCTTTCATTGTTATTCAAACGTGCAGGAATTGTGGTCGATGGGAAAAAAACACGAGTGAAATGCACCTATTGCCTTATAATGTAGCTGGGGCTCAGTATGTATGCTGCTCAATTGTGAGCTTATAGCCTTAATGGACGTTTAGCTCTCATGTAATAATATCTTTATTCTATCCTACTCTTTTATTTAAGCACTACTCATGTATCGATCTACTGTATAACAGTGATGATGACAGTGCAAGACATTCATTTGTACTGGCCATGTATTTGCCAGCCAGAGTTTGAGTGTAGCTCAGGCTAATGTAGGCCAGGTAAGGAACAGATGGCTTGTTTTCAAGTTCAATATGGATTAGAATGTGCAAACAAAAAATAAAAGTTGTAGCAAGGCCCTCTGTGCTAGGGTTCCCCTCCTAAACTCATAATCACCCTAACAACAACAACAACAACACTATTAATAGTGGTAGTAGAAACGTGTAGCACACAAAACCTGTGAGGCCTATATTTTAAAGATCAAACACCAATATTGCTTGATGTTAATATTGTGTGCCCTTGAGATACAGCACATGCACCTTGCACTATTAACCTGTCTGGAAGGATTGTTAGCTTATGAAGGTATAACTGTGACCTCAAGGTCTACAACCATCCTGGAGCACTACTGGGGCTAAACAGTTCGTTTTTTGGTCAATTTCTGGAAAATGAATCAACTATTTAGATTAATGATCAATTGTTGAAGTCATTTTTAAAGCAATTATGCAATATCTCTTAGATCTTGCATTATTAGTGTTGATTGGAGGAATTGCAACTGCTGCTCTTTTTCCTTATGTGATAGTAGCTGAGTGTTTTTAGATTTGGGTTAAAACATGATGCTTGAGGTTGTCGCCTTGTAGTGGAGGAAATTGTGATGGGCATCTGGGAAATAATTAATCCCTTTTTAGGCTTCCTAACCATAGTGGGGTTTTCTGCAATAAGAAAATAGGCAAGGACTTTCACCACATAACGACAAAGTAGGCTGTCCACATCATCCTATCTGTACGTGAAATATTTCCATTTACTGACATCCAAATCTTCTTCTTGGATTTTATCTCCTGTTCTGCTGATTTGCAGGTTCTGATTGGCCACCAGCACCTGTTTTGTAGTTAGTTAAATGGATCAGGAAACTATTGTTACATTGCAATGTCCATGCTGAAACCATATATGACGCAGCCACACTTTACAGTTTACTGATCTCCATGTGTAAAATTGATGTAGAGACCCTTTAAATATCCTTGATGGCGGGGTACAATCTCTCAAACCATCTGCCTCTCCATATCGCACGTCAAGGCAAAGTGAGATAAAATGTTCTCTATGTTCGTCCTTTAGAGGTGATGGGATGTGTGTTATCTTAAATTGGGATGAAACTTAGAAGCTGAGTCAATGTGTCGGTCTGTGTTTGCTTGCACACTCCCTGGTTATCCACTCTAATGTATTCAGTGCCGGCAACGAGCACAACAGCTTTACATAATGATCAAAGCTTGAGGGATGCCAGAGCATGGCTTCAGCCTGCAGTAATAATAATAATAATAACCTTTGAAGTTATCACAATCCCACAACCTCATTGCCTTCCTATTCTGTTTCTCATTCTCTCTCAACCTTGCGCACCCTCACGCATGCACATACCCACTTGAAGGTCCTCTCCTGTTTAATGTTTCTGGATACGGGGTGAGTGCTTAAAAAGAGGAGAGTGATAATGAACACATGACTAACTATTTTAGTCCCTATGGCTCTGCACTAGACTGCTCTTGCTGTCTATGAGGAGGCAGCCTTCCACGCTCTCGCAAATTCACAATTACATAAGAGTTAGAGGGAGTCGTACATTGTGTAATTTGACCAGAAGGAGAAACTCTCACACCTCTTTGCTGTATTACGTCTCTTTTATTGGTGCTACTTCCTCAACCTTCACGACTGACCTCATGGACAACATCTCTCTCGCTCTATCTGTGGGTGAATAGTGTTTGAAATGCAAGGGAATGTGTTATCTGTAATTAAAGCGTCTGATTCAGCCCTCTATTTCTATATATATATATAAGAGCCTCTCACAAGACTTATTGGGCATTTTCTCCAAGTGTCTGGCGGACTTGCGCCGGTCGATCTCGCTAATCAAGGAGCAGTGCAAGGGAGCATGCAAACAAGGTTTTCTGATAGAGAGAAGTGCAGAGGCGGAGGAAGACGGCAGAAAAGTTGGAGACGTGAGGAGAAAGGTTATGAGAGAGGAGGAAGAGCAGGGCAGGTGACCCTATAGGAGAGAGGGGGGATGAGGATAGATGAATAAGCCGCAGCCCAGATGTGCTGGTGGGTAAAGTATTGGGATGAAAAGGAGGGCTAAATGGGGGTGTGGAGAATAGAGATGTGGGAAAAAGAAGGGGGAGAATAAGAGGATCAGAAGGCCAGAGATGAGTACAAAGAGAGGAAGTAGTGGCTGTCTATCTATCTATCCCTGTGTGTGTTGGGGGTCTTGCTTCCGCTCAGTCTGTCGCTTCTGCTCATTTCAGCTGCGAGCGAGCAGCCCGTCTGAATGCCAGACTCGTCTTCACATGTCAGCACTTTTGTCCCAGGTTATTGCATTTTGCAGTTTTTTGTTAGCGGATTAAAAAAGAAAAAGCTTCCCTTGGCATGTCAGTGACAAAATGAAGTGTGTATGTGTGTCAGAGACAGAGATAGGGGGAAGACAGCGAGAGATTGAGCATATGAAGGAGACATTATGACAAAGGATGAGGGCTGAACAAGAAGCAATTTAAAGAAATGGAGGAAGAGGTGCGTCTGCATACGCTTCCTGTTCATGTCTTCAGCTGTAAAATCATGGATACCTTTCGCCTTATGCATTTTGTTTCATATATAAGGAAATGGTACAGGTGTAGTGTTATGTCGTTTAGTGTAACTGGTGGTGAAATTACAATTTAAGCGTGACAAATGAAAGTAAATCCGACATGGAGACAGCAACCCAATTAATATGCGGTTTGTCATGGATCTAAAATATTCTGTCTGTCTTCGAGCTGTGTCATGTCTGTGTCCTTTCTCTGGCAGAGAGCACACACACACACGATCATAGAAAGTGTTTTACCTAGATCCTCCAATAGCATCAGAATTAGAAGAGGAGACACAGTCCACCATAACCTACATCCTACACTGTGTTCCACTTCCCTTCTTGGACTAAAGGCAGGAAAGGCCTGACTGGGTCTGTGCTACTAGTGTGTGTGTGTGTGTGTGTGTGTGTGTGTGTGTGTGTGTGTGTGTGTGTGTGTGTGTGTGTGTGTGTGTGTGTGTGTGTGTGTGTGTGTGTGTGTGTGTGTGTGTGTGTGTGTGTGTGTGTGTGTGTGTGTGTGTGTGTGTGTGTGTGTGTGTGTGTGTGTGTGTGTGTGTGTGTGTGTGTGTGTGTGTGTGTGTGTGTGTGTGTGTGTGTGTGTGTGTGTGTGTGTGTGTGTGTGTGTGTGTGTGTGTGTGTGTGTGTGTGTGTGTGTGTGTGTGTGTGTGTGTGTGTGTGTGTGTGTGTGTGTGTGTGTGTGTGTGTGTGTGTGTGTGTGTGTGTGTGTGTGTGTGTGTGTGTGTGTGTGTGTGTGGTGTGTGTGTGTGTGGTGTGTGTTTGTCGATGTGTGTGTGGTGTGTGTGTGTGTGTGTGTGTGTGTGTGTGTGTGTGTGTGTGTGTGTGTGTGTGTGTGGCTAAGGCATCAGAGGGCCCAGTGAAGCTTGAATACGCAGCGATGCCCTCAGGCTACTGAGTGCTGCATCTGCCCAACTCAGCGCTGGCCCTTACAGCTCTGTCACCCACCCTCCGGGCTGAGGGTGCTATGCTATTTCTGTGTTAGCGTGGTGGTGGTGAACGTTTGTGTTTGTGAGATTTTAACATGCCTCAGCTTCCCTGTATGTTGGGAAAAATCAGGGTTAATCTGCATGTTTACAAATGTGCAATATAGAGGCCTAAATCTGTTGATAATGTGTGTGTTTTCTAGCATTTCCTGTGTGTTTGGGCATGTGTTGTACTAGTAAACTGCTGTAGTAGCCACTTGGAGCTTAATTCCGGTTTAATCACTATTAAAGTGATACCTGTTTGGAATGGGCACATCCTTGGAAAGCCAATTGCTGTGTCTGCACCCTTCCCCCAGAGGGCTTTAGAAGCTGTGCTCTAGGATCATGAATGGGCAAAGTTCAGTTCATCTGACACTCTCAATTGTTTTTATTTTTGACATATTACAGAGGAATGGAGGAGAAGAACAGGAGAGTCCATAAAGAAATGAAGAGACAGACTGAGATCAATTTAGTTCCGAAAAAAAAAAAAAAAACGTTAAAATATATGCTAGCGTTTCAGAATATCTTAATCTTAGAATAAAAGTTATCTTGTTATATCCCTTTTTCACAACTTAATTTGACCTATTTGATTATTCTTTTGGTTGGATTTAATGCCTCGTTTCCACAGCATAGAATAGCTCGACTTGTATACTCCATTCACTTTTGCTACGTTTTTCAGATTTATTTCTCACTGCAGTCTGTCAATTGTCAATAGGTGTGATTTAAAAGCCCATGGTTTTAGTGGCCTCCTGTGAAACTGGCGTGACATGACACGGATCCACGGTGTGGTTTTGTGTGCTGCTATTTTAGAAAATCT